ACATACATACATACATACATACATACATACATACATACATACATACAAACATACATACATACATACATACATACATTTTCTTCCACTTAACTGGGGTTGGGTTGCAGGGGTAGCAGCCAAAGAAGGAAGGCCCAAACTTTTCTCTCCCCAGACACCTGGGCCAGCTCCTCTGGGGTAATCCCAAGGCGTTTCCAGGCCAGCCAAGAAATATAATCCCTCCAACATGTCCTGGGTCTTCCCCGGGTCCTCCTGGTGGGATGTGTCTGGAACACCTCACCAGGGAAGCGTCCAGGAGGCATCCTTACCAGATGCACAAGCCACCTCAACTGGCTCCTCTCGACGTCGAGAAGCAGCGGCTCTACTCTGAGTCCCTCCCGGATGATCAAGCCTCTCACCCTATCTCTAAGGGAGAGTCCAGACACCCTGCGAAGAAAACTCATTTCGGCCGCTTGTATACGAGATCCCTTTCTTTCGATCACAACCCAAAGCTCATGACCATAGATGAGGGTCAGGACCTCCTCCCTGATCTGGAAAGGGCACTCTATCCTTTTCCAGCTCAAGACCATGGTCTTAGATTTGGAGGAATTTATCCTCATCCCGGCCACATCACACTCAGCTGTGAAACCCTCCAGCAAAAGCTATAGACCTGATGACCTGATGAAGCCGATAGGACCACATCATCTGCAAAAGGCAGAGATGCAATCCTAAGGCCACCAAAACAGATCCCCTCAACAGCTTGGCTGTGCCTAGAAATTCTGTCCATCTTATCTTATCTTATCTTATCTGTTCTTATCTTATGATCAAACACTTCCAGGACAGGACATGAAAAAACCATCAACATGTTGCTGACAGGAGCTGCACTCTATTTCCATACACTAGCTGCACTATAGCTTCCATGGAGTAATTTAAGATCATGCTGTGTCTCGTCTTGACTCTTACATGTCCATGTTTGTCTTCAGCTACAACTGGAAAACCACAGAGTGGACTGAGTGTCGGGTGGATGTTCTGCTGAGCCAGCAGGACCGTCGGCGTGGAAACCAAACGGGCTTGTGTGGAGGTGGCATCCAGACTCGAGAGGTCTACTGTGTACAGGCCACTGTTGACATGCCGCCCAATCTCAGCCCAATTAGGAGCAAAGAAGGTAACGTATCAAAAAGTCTTTCTTTGTTTCACTTTTTGTTTCTTGCATCTTGTATTTGTAGTGTCTGTGTTGTGCTCAGCAACATCTATGATCACTTTATTACAATCATCAAGTCTTGTACTTCTTTAGGTATATTTCCAAACAGTTTTTTTTTAATAACTGAGAAGTTTTGAGGCCATTCATTTGCAGAAATTTCTTCACTTTTGGAAAAACCTACACTTTTTTGGCAGTTCATTGCACTCAAGTGTGGAGCTAGTCAGTAAAAATGAGAGTCTTTTAATTTTTTTGTGTTTGAAACAGTGGATTAGATGTGACAGTATACCTTCTGAGAGTGGTGGCGCAGAGGTTAGAGAAGGTGGGCCTGTGATTGAAAAATCGCTGGTTCAACTCCCGGTACCAACAACATCAAAATGTGGGTGGGACAGGTGGTCTGTGGTTGCGTCAGGAAGGGCATCCAGTGTAAAAATCATTGCCAAGTCTTTGTGTGAGTTAGTTCGCTGTGGCAACCCCTGATGAAGGGAGCAGCCAAAAAAAAAAGTTAATAAAATCTACTTGGTGACTTATTATCCTAACCATGGAAGAAGAATTCAGTAAGGTCCTTTTAAGGTCTTAGAATTCTACATTACCATATCTAAAGATAATTTCTTATTTCTTATTAAACAGATAAGCACTTCTGCTTAACATCAGGACTAATCTAAACTTCTCTTCTTTAGGAGAAGAAGTTGATTGTAGAAGACAAGCTTCAAATAATATGATCGGATTTTTCATTTAAGTGAAGACGCCATTTCTCTCTCTTTATAAATTTGGCATCGACTTTCATGACTGTATTAATGTCACACAGAGAAGGTCAAATATAAGCTTTAGCGTAAAATGGTTGTAATACGAAATGCATCAAGTGACCATTCGCTTCCTGCATGACAGTGAGTCAGTCCATCTGGCTGGAAAAACTGGCATCTGTTGCTAAGATTATTCAGATTTTATGCTCACAACCAGTGACTTTCTTTTATGCCAAGTTGTTACACTGCCAGTTTAGATAAACGAGGTGGGCTTCACACTTGTCATTTTTCCCATTGCCACTCAAACTACCGTGTTGTACACAAGCTATGGATGAACACACTCCATTTAAATGAAACAGGAAGACATCAGAAATAGAAAGTTGATCGAAACAACTGAACAGATTTGGGTAGAAAGTGTAATTTAAAGGAATGATGTTCAGAATGTGCTGAAAGCAGAGCAGAGTGTGTAGGTGGAGGAAACGTAGCTCTGCCAGCCCAGCTAAAGAACCTCATTAACCTTCTTCTGTTTTCTGGTTCCTTGCTCACAGACAGCATCTATGTTGGCATTTCATGTCCAAATTGAACATTGTATGCCAAAAACCAGATATCTATTCCAAACATGTTTTCACAACTTTTATGCAGCATCTGTGAACAGAAACAAATGTTCACTCTGAAATCTGAATATTATATTGCGCTGAATATTAAATATATATATATTCTGTTGCAAATGCACATGTTCAAACACAAACAAGTTTATTTAAAGGGGGAAAAAAATACTTTTTTTTTTTTTTTTTAACTCTGTTTCAGCTGCATTTATGTGGACAAGAAATGCAGAACTGATCCAAAAATATCCTGATGCATGCTCAATAATCCAGGTAGAAAAATCCAAAAAAGTTCAATCTGGTCCTCTGGACATTCAAAAAAACAAACAAAAAAAACAAAAAAAAACAAAGCTGAGCTGAAAACAGCACCTCAGACTGAGGAAGTCTCTTGGATGAGAGACGAAACGCTTCTAGATTTTTTTGCTTTGTTTTTTTGTTTTTGTTTTTGTTTTGAATGTCCAGAGGACCAGATTGAACTTTTTTGGATGATCCAAAAATATTACAATCTATTTAACTTTTGCCCTTGTTTCCTCTAGAAATCCAAACAAAAATAAAACTGTTCTTGTTTATTTTTCTTATTTTTTCCGCAATTGCAATTCCTTTTCCAATTCCCGAGTTTAGGAAGCTGTATAAAACTTAAACGACACAAGATTGCACTGATTTGAAAGTCTTATTAATGAATATTTTATTGATAATAGAACATAACAAACATCAAATATTTAAGACTTTTTTTTTCCATTTTGAAGGTAAAAAGATCAGTTTTCATTTCAGAACATGCACCACATTTACAAAGTAATAATAGTGGAGAGAAAAGTAGAAGACTGTTAATACGCTCTCCTATGTGTACACTTTTCTCTAATTTGGGTCTTTCCGTGTGTATTTAATGTTCAGAGATTTTCTTTAATCTTGACGTGGCAGCCATATTTTCATTCATGCTCACCATTTCTTTCTGGAGTAATGGAGCAAATGGAGACATTTTTACTGGCTTGGAATTATTTCTATCAAAAAAGGGCACATTGAGTAAAGAGTGCACCTCCAGGTTTAGTTTACATAAGCAATGGAGGTGGGGGCGTACCAAAGAGACCATCTTATCACAAGCAGAACTGGTTTGTTCCACTTTGGAGTAAGCTGTTGGGGGGGGGAAATCAGTTTTGTTGTGCGTTTCCTTGACTGATGAAGCCTTCCGGACCGAAGGCGAAATGTTTCAGCACAAAAAAAAAAAGAAGCTGTCCAGATGACCTGACTGAAAAATGTTGGACTCTTCAAAGTTCTTCATGTTTTTCCTCAGTGACGTACACACCTACTTATACAGAAGCAATTTTGAAATCTCACCAACAAGAAGCCAGTCAGAACCAAATGTAAATGATTATGAAGGTTGTCACATTCATTATTTTAGAAATAACATTTATTAGCATATGAGTTTGAGCGCTCGAAGCACGGTGCAGTCCTTCATGTAAGGCAGGCAGCCTCACCATTGCCAAAACTGCTGCTGATGTCTTCCTAATTTGTCGATATCCCAGGTATCCGCCGATTCCAAAAAGCAGAAACCCTGTTATCATAAATCCAATTATGTACGCGTCTTCAACATCCTCAACGGACAATATAGACAGACACATCATCTTCCACACACCTCAGGGATCCATGATGTATCCAGCTGCATGTGTCCCTTCAGGGCATGAGGGTTTTCCTTCACCCCGTCTTCTTGTTGATAATTTTTTTTATCAATTGCTTTGCGAGACCAGCTGACCAGATCCATCATAATTTACGATTTGGAAGATGTGTAAAGAGAGGCTTTGAAACAGATTCACAGGACAAGAGCAAAATCAGGAGGGAGGCAGGAGAGGGAAAGACAGCGTCCGTCTTCGTCGAGAGCAAGTCAGAAAAAAAATTCTATATTTAACACCATGATGGGCTCTTTACAATGGAAGGTATAGATCTTACTGAGATATACAGAAATAAACAGTTTCTGTCTGAGCAGTCACGTGATAACAGTAGAGACACATGCAAAGAATTACAAATGCATTTTTTAGCTTTGTTCAAATAATACATTTTGTCTTGTGTGACAAATGACGACTGAAAGGACATACAACATGCACACATGCTTCAGTGTCACCAATAAAAGACTCACCTTCGGCTGTACCAATTAGCATGTGAATGAAGCTAAATACTTTTGTTGAACATCTTGAATAATTCATCAGCCTGACGACCTTGCAGAGTCATCTGTGCCTGTTTGGAGCTGAAGATTCTCTAATCATTTAGAGTCAGGGCAAAGAAAAATATCACCTGAAAGAGCAAAGTATATTAAATGTTGTTTTTATATGTATTACATTTCTTTCTTTTATTTTTGTGTTTCTGCTATTATGTGTTACAATCACTGTGTGTTTTATTTTTATTTGTTTTTTTTTACCAGAAATGATGTGCTTCCCAGCATGCCCATGGTTTGTTCTGTGTCTTCCTAGGACTGCGTCCAGTGGACAGTGAATTGTGTTTGGGTGTCCCTCCAAACACCACACAGTTGTGCCAAATAATGTGTCCCGTTGAATGTGAGGTGTCTTTGTGGAGCGCTTGGGGACCCTGCACCCATGAAAACTGTCAAGACCAGACCACCAAGAAAGGTGAGAACTCCTTCAGAGGATAGCAGTGTCATTGTTTGGTGATAATTTTATTCAATTCATCATAAAAATTTATCTGCTGGAATGTTTCCATATTTTAATGTATCGTGTATTTTAGAATGGTTTTAACTGCATGTTTTTAATTGATTTAGCAAAGCTTGGTTTTAAAGTTTTTTTTAATCACATATTTATGGTTTTTATAAGCCAGATGTCAAAGACAAATCTCCATTTCATTGAATGTTATGGACAATAAAGTTGAATTGACTGATTGCTTGATTGAAATGTGTATAAAGTTGTTAGAATAAATTATTTGAATGAACCCTTTTGTAAAACAAACAAACAAAATAACCTGCAACATGAAAACCAAACTAGCAAAATTAACCTGCAAATTAAAAAAAACTATTAAAAGAAAAACCCAATTTAGACAACCAGTTTATAAAAAAATCTTTAAAGCAAAAAACAAACAAAAAAAAAAGAAATCAAAATCTAGCCCTGACATGTTAATAAAACCTTTTTATGATTGAAGGGAGTCTAAAGAAAGAATACTGAAAATAAGATGATTTGCAGATAAATGTTGAATATCATACAAACTTAAAACAGTGTAGATGAACAGATGCTCAGATATATTCATCAATTAACGCGGATTCCTCTTGATTCTGTAAATAAATGCAAACATTTACATTAATTTGGCAAATTATGAAAATAACAACATAAGCAATCAATCAGGAAAAATCATACGGCCATGATTTTTCCGTTGCTTCACCACAGACATTTATGAAACTGTACAATTATGATCTTTTACCCACACGGATGTGGATGAGCATTTTACACAGACATTTCTAAATATCTGGAAGAATATCTACTTGATAGAAAAGTTTAAAGATGGGAAAGAAGTTTAGAGGGAGTAAAGATGGTATGGGAGGGGAAGTGTTCACCAGAATTGACACTCTCCATCAGAACCCAGCTCTCCCCGGTACGCTTGGTAGGAAACTTGACTCATTACCTTTCTGAGGTTAATCAGCAGATATGGAGCTCCGTTAACGCTACCTGTCCAGCGTCTCCTTAGGATGCTGTGAATCGTCAGAAGTAGTGGCGAGTGAAAATGTTATAATCCCATGGAACTCGGAAGAGCTCTGTTGTCATGTCAGGATCATCCCGTCTCTCACAGAACTGTCCAGCGCTAGGACATATCAGCACTGTCCGCGCCGCAGAACTTCTCCAACCAGCAGAACTCAACAGAACTTCTCCAGAGCTTCAACAGAACAGAACTGAACCGAGTAGACCAGGAAGTACCGACATTTTTAAGATCTCTCTCCCGGTTCACTTTTGGGAGTATTCCCATTGGTCAGAAACAACCAGACGGGGTGTGTTTTGTGACGTAAGAGGTTAGAAGACAGCAAGAATTGTTATGAAACAGATCAGAAATGTTCTCACAGACAGAGAGAGTTTTGTTTTGGCGAGTTTAGAAACAGGTGCCAAAACCTCTATATTTACGTCTGAGAGGATTCTAAAAACATGACAGTTCGTTCCAACAACTTGTTTTGCGTTTGACTCCAACCTTGGACCAACTTACACTTGCTCATTCAAAAGCAGAAATCAGAAAAGGCATAATTACTCTGTAACAGCTTTGACATGAGTTCTAACTTTGCATGAGAATAAAAATCATTACACAGTTAATAAAATTGATTAGTTCACTGCAACATCTAAAATGGTTTGAACTAAGACACTTTGATTATCAACATTTGTAAAATAGTAATGATAATAAAAGAGAGTGTTCTTTTCACTTGAATCTTCAAGAAAGAAAGTCTCAGGATGGGTGAACCTGTATTTCTGGATTCAAATCAATGAAATGACAGTTCCTGTCCCACAAGGTTCTTAAGGTCAAGATTTTTGACCTTAGACTTAGTTTTGACATGGGCCTAGTCCACTACAACAGTCAGTTTGAGTAGATGGAAACACTTTGTATATAGTTTATATGTCAACATGTGGACACTTTTTGCACAGTTACTGTTTGTCAGAGGATTATTTTATCGTTAGCTTTCTGCCTGTTTTTCTGAAAAGTCAGAGAGTGAGACACAGATGTTTGGTTACCATGGTGACCTTAATGAGCAACTGACAGTAGTTTTAGCCTTACTTATATTTCAGTTCTCTTCACTTTTCCAGCTCACACATCGATATGTCAACATTTTGTCAGCTTAGATTACTACAAAATAAGTCCCAACTCACAGGAAGTTGATGCATGCTGGAAGTTCAAGCAGGAGCTGCACGGCGTTCCATAAAAGATGCCGATGCATGGCATGTGACCAAACTCCATGTTTCAATAGGAAATCCAGGCAAGTCTTTGTGCAGGAGACCCCAGGGTTCAAATCCCATGTTTGAAATTTAATTGAAAACTATAAAACAACATGGATGTTAACTCAATTCAATTTCAGTTTATTCATATCGAGCCAGTCACAACAGAAGTCGTCCCAGGACACTGAACAAAAACATTCAAATACATAAAAAAAAAAAAAAAAACTATTAGTAAAGTTATATATCTGAGGAAGTTTTAATCTATCTAATTGTGATAAGAATTATAATGGGGTCTCTGATCTTTTTTCCTCTTTAATAATTTTTTACTCCAGCCATTACTCCCACAATTAATTCCCAATTAATTGATCACAACAGCTACCGTAATTGCCGGTGTATAAGCCACTACTTTTTTTTCCCCACTGATTTTAAACCCCGTGGATTATACAATGCCGCAGTTAATTTGTAGAGTTTTTTTTAATTCCATGTTTTATTATGACAGGCTAAAGAGCCTCCTGTCACCAAAAAACATTTTACTTTGACACACCTGTGTGCTCACATAGCTGCCCTACACACACCCCTCTTGGGGGTGTGTCTTTGTGATTGGGTGATAAACCCATCCTCTGTAACCTACTGCAGCCATTTATAAGCAGCTTTTAACTTCAGCATACTCTGAGCTAAACAAACCATTCATCATGGTTTGTTTTTTGACGCCTTCTTCCTTTTTTCTAGACATTTTGCAAATTGATCCTTCTTACAGTTTCTTTTAAACATTTTAAATGGGTCAAATACTGTCCTCTAAGGACATTTCAAATCATTACACATCCACAATTCTGCATTTGAAAGCTTTTTGATGAGGCATATTCATAAGCAGCTTTGAGGAAAAGATTGATGCATTTCATGCATACTTGTTTTTATTTTTTTTTGTTTGTTTTTTTCAGGGGAGACTCTTCTCTAGACTTTGTTTGCATTCCTATTCATTAAAATATGATAGTAACCTCCAACACTAATGCTCACATTAACCAAGTTTTCTGATCCAGATAGCTACTGTACATGTGAACTAAATTAAACACCAGTATTCTTTCTTATGGCTGGGGGTATATTAATATTAAAATGTTAAACTAATTCTTTGCATAAAAGCCAACTCCAGGCTGGTGACAGCAGTAATGGAGCGAATAAGATTGAAATAGCTGTTATGGGAGCTGCCATCAGTGAGGGTGACAGCATCAACCACAGTTCCCCCCTGCAGCTGAGGCATCCACCATGACTAATGCATGTTGACTCTGTTTTAATGAAGTGCCTCAAATGAAAGAGATGGTTGAAGTATCTCATCCATGCATCTCAATGATGGATTCACTCGTTTGCTCACAGGACCACTTACACTCTCAACGTCACGTGTTGTTCATTTTGCAAAGTAAACACACTTTCTCCAGACTTTCTGTCTTTACTTTTCACTCAGAAACATGGACACAAGTAGTTTTTATTTCCTGGGTTGTATTGAAATTGGCAAGAGTTTTACCAAAGTATATTTAGTTCATTCAAACTTTATTTATACAAGTTAAAATCCCATTGAGCCCCGAGGACTCATTTACAATAGAGACTTGAACTATAACAGGATTTACTCCTCAGAGTTCAGCTGGGATGAGTCTGTGAATGCAACAGACACATGTACTGGTCAGTTTCATACTGGATGGGGATGAAATGATTCAAACTGATCAGAAGTGAGGACTGGACAAAAAAAGTGGCAAAAGGCTTAAAATTCAGTATTCAGAAAGAAGGATTTTCCATTTTATTTGGGTTAGTTGTTTGTTGGGTTTCAAACTGAAAGCCAAATAGTGCTTAACATCAACCATTCAACAGAGTGAACATTACTGGTGAAGAGTGACAGAAACAATGCAAATGTTACTGATTGCATGTTCGATACAGTTGCTCCTAACTCCTAACGATCAACAGTCAGATCTTTTCAAAAGAACAAATAAGGCACTCTAATATTCTTCATATAATATTATATTGGACTATCTTGTACCATATATTCACTGAGGCAATGCTTTGATTATATTAAACTTTCAGTCTGTGTTTTTGGGTCATGAAGGTAAAAGGATTACAACCCAGATATGCTTGACTGTAGAGACACTCTTCAGCTCCTCCTGGGTGGAACCAAAGGTGTTACTAGGACAAACAAGAACAATAGAAATGATCTCCAAAGAGTTCTAGGACTACCCTAAGGTTTCTTCTGAGTAGGGATTTTTTTTTTTTTGCTTGAGGTTCAGAGTGCCCAGGCACATATTTATTAGATGTCCAAACCACCTCAGCTGATTTCTTTCCATGTGGTGGATCAGTGCCTCTACTCTTGGATGATAGAGTTTCTCATCTTATGTTTAAGTCTTAGCCTGCGTAGACACTTCTCAAGACACAAGCTCATTCCAACCATTTATTTTTAGGATCTCATTATCTTCATCATAAAACACACCTCATGAGAAGGTGAGGGCTGGACTGTATAGCCCAGTAAATCTAGGGCTTTGCCTTTCAACAGGCAACACCCTAAATCTACTGTACTGGCCCATCATCTGCTCTCTCTTACCATGAATCGTGAACTCCCTTGTTGAAGCAAATGCAAGACTTCCCTCAACATGGGGGCAACATTACAACTGTGTCCAGTTAGGAAGCATGTCTTCGAACTTCAAGGGGCTGACTGTCGTCATAGCTGCTTCACA